TGGCTCAACCACTGTGGAAAATAATCTGGCAGTTTCTCACGAAAATTTCAACACAGAATTGCCAATTGACCATGCAATTCCACTCCTAGGTATATACCCAAAAGAACTATAGGTGGGAGGGGGCAAGATGTTGGAGGAGTAGGGTCCCCAAGTCTCCTATCCCCACTAATTTACCTGGATAACTTTCAAATCATCCTGAAAACCTAGGAATTTGGCCTGAGGAGATTTAAAGAGAGAACAGCTGGAATGCTACAGTGAGAAGAGTTCACACTTCTATCAAGGTAGGAAGACGGGGGTGGGGGGGAGAAATAAAGACCGAGTGAGTGACATAGAAGACAAGTTGATGGCAAAGAGGGAAACTGAGGAAAAAAGAGGAAAACAATTAAGGGACCATGAAGACAGATTAAGGGAAATAAATGGCAACCTAAGGAAGAAAAACCTACACTTAATTGGGGTTCCCGAGGGCGCCGAAAGGGACTGAGGTCCAGAATATGTATTTGAACAAATCGTAGCTGAAAACTTTCCTCATCTGGGAGGGGAAACAGGCATTAAGATCCAGGAAATAGAGAGATCCCCCCCTAAAATGAATAAAAACCACTCAACACCTCGACATTTAATAGTGAAGGTTACAAATTGCAAAGATAAAGAGAAGATCCTTAAAGCAGCAAGAGACAAGAAATCTCTCTTTTATGGGGAGGAGTATTAGGGTAAGAGCAGACCTCTCCACAGAGCCCTGGCAGGCCAGAAAGGGCTGGCAGGATATATTCAGGGTCCTAAATGAGAAGAACATGCAGCCAAGAATACTCTATCCAGCAAGGCTCTCATTCAGAATAGGAGACATAAAGAGCTTCCAAGATAGGCAAAAACTGGAAGAATATGTGACCACGAAGCCAGCTCTGCAAGAAATATTAAGGGGGACTCTGTAAAAGAAAGAGGAAGTCCAAGGGAACAATTAAAAAACACATGGACTGAATAAGTATCATGATGACACTAAATTCATGTCTTTCAATAGTAACTCTGAACATGAATCGGCTTGATGACCCCATCAAAGGTACAGGATTTCAGACTGGATAAAAAAGCAGGACCCATGTATTTGCTGTCTACAAGAGACTCATTTTAGACATAAGGACACCTACAGCCTGAAAATAACAAGTTGGAGAACCATGTACCATTCAAATGGTCCTCAAAAGAAGCAGGGGGAGCCATCCTTATATCAGATAAGCTAAAGTTTATGCCGAAGATTGTAGTGAAAGATGAAGAGGGACACTATATCGTACTTAAAGGACTTATCCAAGAAGAGGACTTAAGAATCGTCAATATTTATGCCCAAATGTGGGAGCTGCCAAGTATATCAATCAATTAATAACCAAAGTAAAGACACACTTAGATAATAATACACTAATACTGGGAGACTTCAACACAGCAGTTTCTTCAAATGACAGGTCTTCTAAGCACAACATCTCCAAAGAAACGAGAGCTTTAAATGATACACTGGACCAGATGGATTTCACATATAGCTACAGAACTTTACATCCAAATGGAATTGAGTACATATTCTTCTTAAATGCACATGGAAGTTTCTCTAGAATAAACCACATTGTGGGTCACAAATCAGGTCTGAACAGATACCAAAAGATTGGGATTGTGTGCTGTGTGTTTTCAGACCATAATGCCTTGAAATTAGAACTCAATCACAACAAGAAGTTTGGAAGGACCCCAAACACGTGGAGGTTAAGGACCATCCTGCTAAAAGATGAAAGGGTCAACCAGGAAATTAAGGAAGAATTAAAGAGATTCATGGAAACTAATGAGAATGAAGATAGAACCGTTCAACATCTTTGGGATACAGCAAAAGCAGTCCTGAGGGGGAAATACATTATAACACAAGCAGCTGTCCAAAAACTGGAAAGAAGTCAAGTACAAAAGCTAATGTTGCACCTACGGCAGCTGGAGAAAAAACCGCAGATAGATCCTACATGCAGCAGAAGAAGAGAGTTAATAAAGATTCGAGCAGAACTCAATGAAATAGAGACCAGAAGTACTGTGGAACAGGGATCCCTGGGTGGCGCAGCGGTTTGGCGCCTGCCTTTGGCTCAGGGCAGCGATCCTGGAGACCGGGATCGAATCCCACGTCGGGCTCCCGGTGCATGGAGCCTGCTTCTCCCTCTGCCTGTGTCTCTGCCTCTCTCTCTCTCTGTCTGTGACTATCGTAAATAAATAAAAAAATCTAAAAAAAAATAGGATCCAACAACACATTAAGAAAATTATTCACCATGACCAAGTAGGATTTATCCCCGGGACACAAGGCTGGTTCAACACTCGTAAAACAATCAATGTGATTCATCATATCAGCAAGAGAAAAACCAAGAACCATAGGATCCTCTCATTAGATGCAGAGAAAGCATTTGACAGAATACAGCATCCATTCCTGACCAAAACTCTTCAGAGTGTAGGGATAGAGGGAACTTTCCTCGACATCTTAAAAGCCATCTACGAAAAGCCCACAGCAAATATCATTCTCAATGGGGAAGCACTGGGAGCCTTTCCCCTAAGATCAGGAACCAGACAGGGATGTCCACTCTCACCACTGCTATTCAACACAGTACTAGAAGTCCGAGCCTCAGCAATCAGACAACAAAAAGACATTAAAGGCATTCAAATTGGCAAAGAAGAAGTCAAACTCTCCCTCTTCGCCGACGACATGACACTCTACATAGAAAACCCAAAGCCTCCAGCCACGATCGCACGTCGCCAGTGTCCTGGGGCACCAAACAGCCCCATAGAATGTGGATCGCCCGAGAGCCGGAGGGCCGCCGAGCTCCCTTGCGTGTCGAGGCCCCAGCAGGTTCTGCGTAGCCTCGAGCGTGAGCGGCCGCTGCCCCGAGGCGTGACGCCCGCGGCCGCCATCTTTCCGGCCGAGTCCACCTCACAATGCGCCAGGGAGCGTCAGACGCCGAGAGGGCCGCGTTGCCTAGCGAAGGCCGCGCGGGGCCGGCCCGGCCTGCGTCACGTCGGGACCGCAGCGGCTGCCTCCGCGTCGACCCCACTCGGCCCGGCGCGGCAGCCCGCGAGCCACCGCGAGCCACCGCGAGCCCCGACCGCGTGCTGCCGGGCCGGGACGCACTCATGGGCTCGTCGGCGAGCAAAGCCGCCCTCGGGGCGACCAGCGACGAGCCACGGGAACCGGAGCCGAAACACCTGGCAAGTGAGTAGCAGCCGCGGTGCCCCCCTGTGGGCAGCGCCGCCCAGCCCCCACCTCCCGCGGGGCCTGCCCACAGCCACCGGCCAGGGCACGTCACACGACGGCTTGGACAACGAGCCGCCCCAACGTCCGCCGCAGCCCCGCACGCACCACCCGACCTACGCTCAGTGCACAGCGTTACGGCGGCCGCGGCAACGCTTTCTGCTCCTCTGAATGTTCCAGGGCTCAGATTTCTGTTTAGAACATTTTATTTTATTTACTCATGACACACACAGACACCCAGAGAGAAGCAGAGGGAGCAGCAGGCCCCACGCAGGGAGCCCGACGTGGGACTCGATCCCAGGGCTCCAGGATCACGCCCCGGGCCGAGCGGCGCTAAACCGCTGCACCACCACGGCGGCCCGGAACAGATTTTTCATTCTTTTTTTTTTGTGGACTTTTTATTTTTTAATTACGAGAGACAGACAGAGAGAGACATAGAGAGAGACAGAGACACAGACAGAGCAGCAGGCTCCATGTACGGAGCCCCACGCGGGACTCGATCTCGGGCCTCCAGGATCACGCCCTGGACTGAAGGCGGCGCCAAACTGCTGAGCCACCGGGGTTACCCAGAATTTTTATCCTTAAAGACAGAATAGACTCTCAGGCTACCCTACACTTTTTAAGCAAAATACGAAAACACAAAACTCATCGAAAGACTGACTTCTGCTTAAAAAGTGTCCTTTGATTTCATGCCAAAATTAGCTTCTCGGGGACTCCTGCGTGGCCCAGCGGTTTAGCGCCACCTTCAGCCCAAGGTGTGATCCTGGAGACCCGAGATCGAGTCCCGCGTCGGGCTCCCTGCATGGAGCCGGCTTCTCCCTCTGCCTGTGTCTCTGCCTCTCTCTCTCTCTCTCTCTCTTTCTCTCTCTCTCATGCATAAATAAATAAATTCTTTAAGAAAAATTGGCTTCTCAAGACCTGAAAGATGAACAGTAGTTAGCCATGTGAAAGATGTGGGGACCCAAATAGGGCACTTGGGCCAGTTCCACAGTATCCCAAAGGTTCAGTCCAAAGGCTGAAAGCATGGGAGAGCAGAAACAAAAAACCTACAGCAGAAACTTTCCAAAAAGCGGAATGAAGCAGACTTAGAGCAAAAAAGCATGAAAGAAGCCCACCCTCCCTAGCCTTCCCCGCTGGCATGTATTAGACATACTTGAATCAATGGATCTGCATTAAGGTCGACCTATCACTCCACCAGCAGGTTTGTTGAGCTCACTCTTCAGTTGCTATCGTGGTGTCACACCCGCAAGCACGCTGACTAGTGAGTCCTAGGGATGAAGTCTACTAATAGTTTATACACAGTTTTAAAACCAAAGAGGATTTTGAAGTGATGAACGCTAACGCATCATTGCATGTTGTCCAGTGGAAAAATGAAATCATGAAAGTTACCTATTGACGGTTTGTGTGAAGTAAACTGATGAATGGTCATAACCCTAAGTGGGAAATTGCGAAGGTGTTTTAGTGAAGCAGGTGTAAGGCTATACAGAAGCGGACTCAGAAAGAAAAGGCAATAGGGGCACCTGGCTGGCTCAGTAGAGATGGTGACTTTTACTCTTGGGGTCGTGAGATTGAGCACCATGTTGGGGGTTGAGTTTACTTAAAAGATTTTTTTATTAAGAAGAACAAGCAACAAAAGGTTAAGGGATGCAAACTAAAGGGTCAGACATGGAGTGACACGACAAGGAAAGCTCCTGACTGACCTTTCATGTAATGGTACTTTTCTTGAGAGAGGCAGTAGGGCATAAAGGTTAGTATCATGGTCAAATCGGATTTAAAAAACCAGCCCTGCCACCTAATTACCTGTATGACATGGTGTTCCTTTCTTGAATCCTATTGATTTATTTAACAACTATTTACCATGACTCGTATGCCAGCTATTGTGCTGGGTCTCAGGGCATCTGGTGACCAAAATGGACACAGGTCTGACCCTCATCAAGTATTCAGGACAATAGAGTAGACAGGCATTAACTATCGTGGAACATGTGTCCGTACAAATGGTGATACCTGTAAGGAAGAAAATGTTTTGCATTACCCCCTTTGTCATTTCTGACTTTCAATTACATCTGTATTTAAGTTAAAGTTACCAATTTTGGTTTTGAGAATTTCTCAGTCTTTTAATGCTTGTTCTGTCTCTAATTCAGACCTAATACAGTACATAAATGGAACAAATATGAGTGTTGAACGTTTGGCAGATGTTCTTTCTGAGAGAACTGGGAGCAGAAGCTGGGTGGTAGTGTTTAAGGCCCTGGTCACTGTACATCACCTTATGGTGCATGGAAATGAGGTGAGCATGCTTTACATTCCAATGGTAATCATGTCCTTCCTTTTGGTACAAAGGACTGTCTGTACACAATTACGAAATATTCTTGATTTGTCAAGGCTCATTATCTTTTTAGTTTGTGACAAGTGGGGGAAGTGAATAGCAGTAGGTACTGAAAGGCTGGCTTTTGAATTCTTATGGGTATATCTTTGCAATAATTATTTGGGGTATACTGTTTGAGCCACTCGATAATAAAGTGGGTAATGGAGTGGATATTTTTTTCAATTCTTTAGATTCTTTAGACAAAAGAGAGAAAACCCTCAAAGATGTATTGTTTTACTTTACCAGGAGAAACCAGGGGCCAGAGTGGATTGCATTATTACCTGTCCACCTCTCCTGCATACACTCTTTGTATTTGACAAAACTGAAATGTTCTTTAGTATCAAATTACTTATTCTACTTTAACATTTTGTCTCAGTAAGCTTTGCATCAAAAAATTAGGATTTAGAAATTGGCTGGGTTTTGAGACGTACTACAAAGCAACTAATTATACAGTATGGTATTGATAAAAGTTGAATATATATATATATATAAATGGAACATGATGGAGAGCTTGGGAGTAGAACTATGTACTTATATGGGAGCTCAGTGGCACAAAAATGTGAGGGAAAATATGGGATCTAAAATAAAGCCTTTTGGAGAATGAAATCTTGCCATTTGCAACAACGTGGGTGGCACTAGAGTCTATTATGCTAAGTGAAATAAGTCAATCAGAGAAAGACAAATACCACGTGATCTCACTCATACGTGGAATTTAAGAAACAAAACAGATGAACATATGGGAAGGGAAAAAAAGAGACGGAGGCAAGCCATAAGGGACTCTTAACGGTAGAGAACCAAGTGACGGTGCTGAAGGGTGGGGGATGGGCTTGATGGGTGATGGGGATTAAGGAGGGCACTTGTTGTGATGAGCACTGGTTATTGTATGTAGGTGACGGACCACTGAATTCTACTCCTGAAAGCAATGGTGCACTGTATGTTAACTAACTAGAATTTAAATACAATAAAACAAAGCATTTTGGTAGAATAACATCCTCTGGAAAAAATAGAATGAGATCTTAATCTTACCCCAATATACAAAAATAGATTCCACACCAATGAAACATCCATGAATGCAAAAAACTAAATTTTAATAATTGAAGAAAAAGTAGGAGTATATGCCTGTGTCTTCTTTTTTGGCATATTTTTTATTGGAGGTCAATTTGCCAACATATAGCATAACACCCGGTGCTCATTCCATCAAGTGCCCCCCTAAGTGTCCGTCACCCAGTCTCCCCACCCCCCGCCCACCTTGCCTATGTCTTTTGAGTAAGGAAGACACCATAAAGTTGGAATAAGATATTTCCAACATATATATTACATCAAAAAGATTAATTTTCAGAATACATTCATTAAGAAAAAGGCAGTATGGTGGAGTAGTGTACAAGACAGAGAATTCATAGAAAAGGAAACCAGAATGGCTGATGACCATCTGAGAAGATGCTCAGATAAACAAAATGTGAAATGCACGGCAGTATCAAGAATTGGGACGCCTTGAGGAAAGGAGAATTCACACACCCTGTGGATGACATGTAAATAGTTGTTGGAGTTTATGAGTGTTGAGAAGAAAGCATTGAGACACGTTTCATAAAATTGGAAATGCCAAGCCCAGTGACCCAGCAGACCCATTTCTCGTAGCATGTTTATAATAATTAAAAAGTAGAAATCACCTGATTTCCCATCAGTACAGAACAAATAACTAAAATGAGAGGTGTGTATATATAACGAAGTACTAAATGACATTACATAGGATGTATACCAATGAGGCTCAATCTCAAAAACAATGCTACTAGAGGAAGTAAGATGCAGAATGACATTTAGATATGATATTAGTATTGTGAATTTAAAACTACTTAATATTTGTCCGTGGAACAAACATATCGAAACTGTAAAAGAAAATCGACTGCAACAGATAGAAAAAGCTATGCGATAGAATGATGTTAAATATGCATTGACAATGATAAACTCATTAAACAGCTCTATTTGTGGACAGAAGCTAATTTTATGATTTGGCACATTTGACAGCGTTTCATCCAACATCTTGCATCTAGAAACTCTTTGTTCACTTTACACAACTTCCTGGATAAAAGTGTCATAGAAGGTAAGATGATCCTTTGATGGAAATACTCCACGTGGCAAGGAGGGGAAAGCTGTGTTTTGAAAACCATGCCTGGTTAACTAACACCTGGGAGGGCCAGGCAGGGACGGTGACCCTGGGATGGGGAGTTTCCGGGAGATGTTCAGAATTCACAGCCGTTATTTGAGAAATGTGAAAGAACCTGATAACAGTCACCTGTTTCCTCTGTTCGGGAATGTCACCGTCAGCACTGCATCACCAGGTAGTTTCAAGGCTTTGAGGAAATAGAAAATAATCTCTAGCAGAGAGCATGAGGAATATTGGACCAGCTCATTAGTAAGGTCCATTCTAGCTCTGGCGCTTCCAAGGTACCGTTGTGGTGTCGGGGTGACCCTGGTATGATACGTCTGTGCGTGTATGGACGTATGCTGAGAGTGGTTGCCGCTGGTTGGATTGGAAATGATGGAGCATCTCATCTTCAGGCTACACCATGTCAACCTTCATCAGACGATACAGCCGCTACCTGAATGAGAAATCCCTCGCATGTAGATTGATCACGTTGGACATCACCAAAACCAAGAGAGGGTGAGTTGACACCGTTAGTTTGTGAGCGACGACGATCGCTGACCCCGGGAGAGCCCCGACGTGGAGTTGACCCAACGCACAGCCGTATTTTAAGATGCTGATGTCACCGGGCTTCTTGAACGCCTGATTCCAGGCATCCTGAGTCTCTTTTCTCTTTTGTAGGATGGATGGTATGATGAGAACTCTGGATACCAAACAGCTGCTAAACACTCTTCTGGTGATTCAGATTCAGTTTGATGCTCTTCTCAACTTTAACGTAAGAGCTTTGTGAATCCTGTCTACGCAGCCTGTAAATGACGTTGTTGAGCAGCAGGTGGGAGAAGGAATCGTGGGGGAACTGATGGCTCTTTCATTTAATTAATTTCCAGGCAAATCCTGATGAAGTAACGAATGGTGTGATGCACGCCGCTTTCACTCTCCTCTTTAAGGATTCTCTTCGCCTCTTTGCAGCCTATAACGAGGGGATCCTTAATCTGCTAGGTAGGCTGAAGAATAAACACTGCTGAAAACAGTAAACTGCTGAAAGCCTTTTATCTCTACGTTGAGACTCACATAGACCACGTTTGTTTTAGATTCAAAATAGATGATCCTTTTAAGTTCATGTATGTTTTTCTTTTTCATCAATGAGGCTGTGAGTGAGGACCTAGTGCACTTGTCGAGTTACAAAAGTAGGAAACACAGCCCCTTCCCTCAAGAAGCTTCAGGTCTTGATGTTAGTAAGATTCCAGACTGGAAGTTGTAGGAATGAAACTAAACTGCACTATCCCTGTGTGCTGGTAAGTTCTCGCCCTCTTCCCAGCAGCAGCGTGATACCAACTTCATGAAAACCCGTTGATTATATGGATTGAGCAATGTTGTTGCTAAGGACAGAGGATAACTGCATCAAGGCTCTAATTGTTTTTGAACAAGTTAAAATCATACACGGATTCAGAGCCCCTGGGTGGCTCAGCGGTTGAGCATCTGCCTTGGGCTCAGGGTGTGACCCCGGGGTCCTGGGATCGAGTCCTACGTCGGGCTCCCCGCAGGGAGCCTGCTTCTCCCTCTGCCCGTGTCTCTGCCTCTCTCTCATGAATGAATAAGTAAAATCTTAAAAAATAAAATGAAATCATACACAGATTCAGCCTAAAATGGAACTGGAATGGAGTGAAACGGGAAAATTGCTGAGATAGTGGCTCCTTTATGGTAAATTTGTTTTTTCATTTCCAGACAAATTTTTCGGTATGACGAAAAACCAGTGCAAGGAGAGTCTGGATATTTACCTCAAATTCCTTGAAAGAACAACCAAAATGGCACATTTCCTGAAAGTTGCAGAGGTATGGAAACCGATTTCTACTCAAGGCTTTCCTGCTCTTTCTATCAGTTGAGTAGCTGGTATAACTGCCCCACCCCGCCCCACCCCGCCCCGCCCCGCCCCACCCCACCCTGCCCCTGCCCCACTGCACATACACAGTCAGTATTTTTAGCTATTTTTTAAACAGTAAAACTATACACTCAAATTAGGTAGTCCAAGGATTTGTAGCCATAAAGACAACTGTTGCCGAGCTCATCCTCCTGCCAGAAACACCTCTAAAACTGGGCCACGTTCATATGATGTATGCCTCTGCACACAGTGGACAGTAGGTAGCACAGGTCTGTGATCATTTGAAAAAAGAAACACACGAGGTGACCCGCACATTTGCTCTCACGCTCAGAAGAACCCAAGTGGGGTCGATGTGCCTAGCCTAGCAGTAGTTGAACTTCTGAAAACCAAAGCAGATAAAAGCAAACAACAACCAAACCCAACCTATGACTCACAAGCGAGCAACAATATGAGTAACAGCTGACTCCTGAGTGCTTGACGCATTAGAACGCGTTGTTGCAATATCCACAGTGCAGCCTAGCTCTTTCCAGAACAGCAAAGCTTCAATATCTCGCAAGTCTTTTATAGGTTCCATCCTTAGGATGACCGTGAGTCTGTGCGGAAGTGTTCCAGGCACACTTCAGCTTGACATGTTTTTCTTGATCAACTAGGCAGTAGCCCAGCAAGGGGTTCGTGCTCTAGGGGTGTTTTCTCTTTTGTGTGCGCATTGGTCTCACAGTTACTTTTCTTTATTGCCACTCCTTGTTGTGATGTTCCCTCCCCCTCGCCTGTGAATTCAGCAAGTTGGAATTGACCAGGATGACATTCCATATCTTACGCAGGTCAGTGTATCTCTCCTATGTGTTTCAATGAGTTTTTTTTTTTTTTGGCCTTATGTATACGTGTTGGTTATGTGAATCATCATCTGACACTCCGTCCTCTGCCGTAATCTTACGTATGTATTTTCATGTCCTCACGATTCACATCCACACATCCACATAGGTGGACAGACATAACCATGGGTTTTCTGAACGTGTCTTTGAGCTGTTGGTCTTATAAAAGAGGCCGTGCCCTGCGGAGTGCTAGATGGTGAGTCGTAGTATAACAACTAGGCCCTGCTCTTTAAATGGACAGAACTGATCAGTGGAAACAAGGATATTTGGGATCTCCCGCAACTCATTTCCACTCTCCATGGCTCATTTAGGCAACTGCAAAATGGGTCTGATCCTATTGTCTTTTTGATGCTGGCAGCTCGAGATGCACTACATTATCTTCTATTTCCCAATGAACCCCTGGGCATTGGAACCCTAAAAATGTCATCAAAGTCGAAGGCCCCTGAATCTTGGTAGGGTTTATCTCCTACCCTCTGGAATGCATGTAGTTTTCCAGGGTCTTCCATGGTACTGGCCACTTTCTGCTCCTCTGATCCAGCCAGCATGACATCATGGTTGTAAGTGGGTCAGTGTGATTTTGTGAGGGATATCAGATGATTTGGACTTCTTCTGACCATGTTAGGACAAATGTTGGGAGAGGTAACGCGCCCTAGGTCACAACTGTAAAGGTATACTGTTTTCCTTCTCATGCCTACAAGCCCTTTGTGATTTCCACCTTTGGAAGCAATGGAAAGCAGAACACTCACGCATACCACGTATCTGAGACTACACTAACCCGTCTCTACCAAAGGAACCGTTGCACCGGGCACTGAGGCAACGATTGGATCACTACTACCAGATTGCTTATGCTGTAGGTTGTCATTCGCCAGGGCCTGACTGGTTTGGGGGCCATAAGGGTGACTTACATGGAGATATGATGGGGACCATCATCACTCTCACATCCCTTTTATCTTTAAGATTGGTACCAATTTCTACCCGCCCCCTCCTGGGAGGTGATTGTGTTTTTCATTTACTATTTTGCCTGGAGGGTCAATGGAGGTGCTTTAAGATACAGAGCTCTCCACCCTACAAGTTAACATGTCCCAGCAGGGTCTGCTCCCACGCCACTCCTGCCCCTAGGCCTCTGCCTACAGGTAAATCACCACATGGGCCAGAGACTCAGGACTTTCGTGGCCATCTGCCCAGATCTCCCCATCCCGTAAGTTAGGGCTTAGAAGCCCAACCCTGACCTTGGAGTGTCAGGCCTGCCTTGGTTGGGACTGGAGGAAGGCGAAGGACTCACAGTGCCTGGCACAGGTCGTAGTCAGGTGAAGAGAGAGGGTGAAGATGCAGGGGGGCAAAGGGGTAGTAGATTGAGGTCCCCTCAGGAATGAGACCATGTTGTATCCAGAACACTATGGATGTAACAGTAAGAGGATGGCGGAAGCAAGGATGGGATGGTTGCAGATGGAGATAAATGTCAGGCTTGGTGGCAGAGAAGGAGGGGGTTTCTGTGTGACGTATTGTCATAGATCTTTAAAGAAATGTGTCTCGTAACGTATACATGGCACAAGTGTCCCTTCATGTACACATGAGCACAAGGGGACTTGTGCACAGTGAGCCCCCCTGTTGGAGGAAGTAACGCACAGCTTCCCGAATGACAAGTCCTAACCGGGACTCAGAAACTGTGAGAATGTGTGGGTGAGTAGGGGACAAGATGCGGTTTCATTGCCCAAAGGTGCCATAAACCAGTGGATGTCGATGGACACACGTTGATTCACACACGTGCTTGAGCCGTGTCAGGAGGAAGGAGCCATAATGCATGAGATACAGCCCCCGCTCCTGAGTTCCCGAGAAAGCCGACAGGAGCATGATGCATGTGTCCCCCAGTGCCGTCCTGCCCCCGACTCTTCTTCACCTTGACCTTGGTTCCTTCTGGCGGTGGTAGCGATGGGAGGGGTTCCTTTGCTGGGGGTGACTTGGACTTGGCACCTTGGCCTCGGCCTCCTCCACTGCTCCGCTTGTGGTCAGAGCTTCGGGGGAATATCAGGAGGAGCCCGGGGAAGTCCACACTTCCCATTGGGCCACCTCGTCTTACCTCCATTCTGGTGCCCAGTATCCCTGAATGAAGAAGAAAGTAGATGGTTACCGGGAGGCTGTGGAAGGGAGGCGGCGCTCTTTGTTGGTCAAGTTCCTTGCACATCCTCAGTCGCCCGTGCGCAAGTCGGAGGGCTTCTGTGTGCACCGGGCCCTGGCCGTGGGCCGCAGTGGGCACAGCTGCTCCCGGGCGCTGCTGCCTCAGGTGTCCTGGCCACCCTGGAACGGAGGGAACAGCCGTGGGCCGGCCTTGGGCTCCCCTGGGCCTTTCCCCGACGGCAGTGGGTGCCGGGTGTGCAGGCTTGCCCGGAGCCCCGCGTCTCCCTAGCAGGTGCCCCCACCCCCACGCGTCCCCGGCTCGTTCCTGGCGGCAGCGGGGTTGCGGGCTCCTGGGGCCCCTGGCACTGGGGGGCGCCTGCCCGTGTCCTGCTTGTCGCGGCGGCTGCGCTGGGGCAGCGTCATCTCGGCTCCCGGAGAGAGGCCACCGCGTTGGCGGCCAAGAGCTCGGACACGCAGGGCTCGGCCGCCGGCGGGGCTCAAATGTACCGATACGTGTCCTTTGGTTATTTTAGTTACCCCGTGGTAAGTGTTTTTGTCACATACTTGATGTCTGTCCCTGTGGCAGACCCTCGGCGGTGCCCTGATCGCCTCGGGGCCCAGGGCCCCTCGTGGCGCGTCCTGCGTGCCAGAGCGTGGGAGGTCACCCTGGGCCGCGCATGCCCCCTTTCCGCTGCCGGGGTGCCCGTGGCCTTCGGCGGGGACAGACGCCCACGAGTGGACCCGGGGCGCGGAGGGGGCGAGAGGCGTCGCTGGCCCGGACGCGACCTGCTCCCCACGCTCGACCCCGAGGGGGAATCCGAGCGGGCGCACGTCTGGGTTTGTGCGTGGCCGCTCATCCTGTGGGCCCCTCCACGGGGTGCCCGACTGCCTCCTCCGGCTGCTCGCACGCCTGGGTGTCCGGGCACCTCTGTAGCTGCTGCGCCATCCCCACCGCGAAGAGCACCCGTCGTGTCGCGCGTGTCCCCCAGCCTCCCTCCATCCCCTCGGCCGCTCACTCGCCCGTGGTGTGTGGCCCCGACGCCCACGAACGCTGATCCACACGTCATCAGGCCCTCTCGCTCCTGCAGGTCATCCCTGGCTGCCCAGCATTCCCCGCTGCGGGCCGCGCTGCGGCTGCAGGGGGCGGGGTGTGGGGGGCCCACTCTGCTAGGCTCTCTAGGCTCCACACGCTCCTGCGCACTTGCCGGGCCCCCACCTGCAGCTGTCCCCCACCTCCTCCTCCTCCTCCCCCTCCTCCTCCCCCTCTTCTCCTCCTCCCCCTCCTCCCCGCTCCTCCCCCTCTTCCTCCCCCTTCCCCTCCTCTTCCCCTCCTCCTCCTCCTCCCCTCCTCCCCCTCCTCCCCCTCCTCCCTATCCTTCTCCCCCTCCTCCTCCCCTTCCCCTCCTCCCCCTTCCCCTCCTCCCCCTCCTCCCCACTCCTCCCCTTCCTCCTCCCCCTCCTAGGCTGCTTCTCCGAGGGCCGGCCTACGCCAGCCACCTGTGGCTCTCTTCAGCACCACTTGCTTCTCCAACCTCCCTGACGTGATGCCATTGCCTGGCTTAACCCCTGTCTGAGTACCATGTACCCCGCTTGCACCATACTCTTCCCAACTTTGATTTTACATTCATCTGTGCGATTATTTGCTATTTCTCCTCCCCTAGACCTGCAGACTGGAGCTTCCCAGCTCATGAAGCCTAGGACCAGGTGGTTTCCGCTCATGGAAACAGAGAAAGAAAGAAAACCTGGTGACGCATGAAGCAGTCAAAAATAATAGGGCAGCCCGGGCGGGGATCCCTGGGTGGTTCAGCGGTTTAGCGCCGCCTTCGGCCCAGGACGTGATACTAGGGATCCGGGATCGAGTCCCACATTGGGCTCCTGCGTGGAGCCTGCTTCTCCCTCTGCCTGGGTCTCTGCCTCTCTCTCTCTCTCCCTCTCTCTCTCTCTCTGTGTCTCATGAGTAAATGGATAAAATCTTAAAAAAATAATGAGGGATGTCAAGTCCAAAAGAGATAGGTGTTTTAGCACGCCTTTGGTCTTTAATAATAATAATAAAAAAAAGAACAGGAAAGCATAGTTCAAAAATCTGACTTGGTATTGAGATGCTTTTCGTAGTGACTTGTAGCAACTGCAGCTGACCCTTGAACGGCCTGGATTTGAGCTGTGCAGGTCCACTCCCGTGTGGACTATTTTCAATAAATACTTTGGGACATTTTTTGGAGCTTGGCGCCAATTTGAAAAAACTCAGACATGAACTGTGTAGCCGACGAATACTCAAAACGTGAAGACAAAGTTGGGTGTCGGTGTAAGCACAGCACAGAAGGCGTATCACACACGAGAGCTGCGTCAATAGGCCGTTTACACCACTGGTAAAGCTTCCAGCCGTTAGCAGGCTGTCAGGGGCTAAGTTCTGGGGGAGTCACAGGTTATGTGTTGATTTGCAACTGCACAAGGGTCCGCCCCCTCTCCCCTCGTGTGCAGGTCAACCGTGTTCACCTTTAATGACTTCGCCATGTAGCTGTCTTGATTTTTGTTCAGAACCTTTATCTGATGTCAGACAGTATGGATTTGCTAAGAACTCTCAGAAAACATGTCTTTCACAACGACTTTATCTTCAGGCACCCTACAGTTTACTTGAAGCACTAAAACAGCATTTAGCTTCTTTGGAAGAGAAAGAGGACAGTTCGCCTCCTTACAGGTAAGCTGATGGTTGTCTCCATTTTGCTTCTCTCTAAATAATTTCCCCCACTTTGCTTCTCTCTGAATACTTTCCCTCCTTTTAACAATGAGAAAGTGACTAAGTAAATCATGGGCTGTGAACACGCTGGAACACACTATGCAGCAGTCTTCAATGATACTATGGGGTGCAGGTTTTTACTCTTCACTGGGATCCCCTACTCTCCACGGGGGCCATACGCTTCCCCAGGGAACACCTTTTATAATGTTGACTGATTCTCAAACGTTGGGGCTCGAGTAAACCCTCTTTTGAAGAATTTGATTTCTTTTCTTAGAGGCTCCCCCAGTGAGAATGACTCTTGTAGATGATTATTTAATATTTATCTACAAAACGGTATGCAAAATGTCCGGTATGCAAAAGATACAAAATGTCCTGAGGGACATTCGGGACGTGTGTATACACATATATATGCACGTATGCACATGCACACGCTCGTCTACATAAGAGTATATAGAGATACAAATTAAATAATACAAATTTTGGGGTATATCACTTCAAAATGTTCATGTTAGCTATTTCTGAATGGAAAAATGGTGGTTTATTTCCATTTTCTTTCTTTCTTTCTTTTTTTTTTTTTTACTTTTCAGTATTATTCAGAATCTCTATAAGGCCCGCGTATTATCCATTTATTCCATTCCTTGGGTTACGTTGGTTATAACCGCCTTATATTATTATGTTCTATTAGACAACAAGTCTGTTGACTGTTTCTTCTATTTATCATGGATAGATGTTTACTTAGTATATACTTGGAGAGATGGTTTAATATTAATAGATGGATGGATAAATGGTTGAATTAAGGAAATGTAGGCTCAGCTGGGTAGGATATATGTGATTCCATTGTCCTCCAGGGTATCTAATTTCTCTTGTAATCTTTTAAGTCTCCAGCATACATTGATTCCCTCCATCCCGAATAATCCAGTTGTGAAAACTTCAGCAAGCGGATCTTGGTTTACAGGTAACATAACTCGATTATATGATGATGTCAGTAATGACCGAGGGCAGGATTAGGGTCTTTAGTTCTTCCACTGCTTCACACCTAAGTGTGTCGGCTGCCTCTTCCTGAAGCAGTCTCCAACCTAGTGATCTCATTTGCGGGAGTTTATGCGATGATCATATTCAGGGTCGTGAAATGATATATGAGTAGAGATATCTGTTACAATGTTGTGATAGCAAAACGACTATCAATAAGGGGCTTGCCTTTATGTACTGACACGGCATGATCTCCAAGATAGATCGTTAAATGGAAAAGAAGCAAGGAGTGAAACCAAGTATAGTGTGCTCCCATCTTTGTTTTTAAAAACCGAAAAGAGAATGTGTATGTTCGAATCATTTCTTGAAGAATATACAAAAAGATATACAAAAGGATGAATAAAATGCACTGCCTCTAAGAAGAACTTGGTGGCTCATGGAAAGGGATGGGTGGGAGAGTCCTCACTGTACACCATTTTCTGACTTTTGAATTTTGTCCTTGCAAATAATCACTAATTAAAAGATAACTTTAACGAAGAAACACATACACACTTAAAGTGCGATCCTTTGTGACCTCTTAAGACTAGTTTGCCTCGTACCTCAGCAGCGTGCTGCATTTGCACCTGGTGATGTCACATTGGCAGCTTGAAGTTGGCCTCGATCGAAGTACTTACACCCCAGAAATGGACAAGCACTTTGAAACAGGCCATGTGTTTTCCTCGGAGAGCTGGCTGTTATACATTTACTGGCACGTGACAGCTCATAATCAGTCATATTCTGTTTTTTAATGGGTGATTGGGTTTCAGTGACGTCACTTGATCCTCTAGACACAAATCCATGTAATAGTGAGTTATATTATCTTACGGTTTATATGTGTTTGAATTAAAGTTTGTTCTTAATTTAACTTGAAAACTTAAACTGTGTGTATTTTAAATGTCTTTACTTTTCTTTTTTTTTTTTTGTCTTTACTTTTCTTTTGTACACATCTTCTCAATGGACCCACCATCTGCACTTTCGACGGGTGAGTTTGACCAAAACTTTGAGGAATAAAAGTCCTTAGGGTAAAACGATATTATGGCAAAAGTGGCACATTAGCTTTGTGTCCAAAACACTGACTACTCTTCTGAGTCCCTGTGGTTTGGGAATCATGAGTGCTTGCGGGAGATATTACAAGATGAGTAATCATAGTATTTGACAAGCTGTGGATTCAGTCTGATGTGATTGTGAAATCCAAGCTACTTGTCATAAAGGCCTACGGGTTGCCTCACCCCCATCACTTGAACCAATTCTGTTGATGATCCTATGATCAGCTGAAACCTTTTTTTCTTTCTTAAATCACTGATTTAAAAATACCTGCCCTGAATCCAGAGTGCTTGGGTTCAAACTTCACTCTACCGTTCATGGACGGTGTGACTTTGGGCACACCACTGAGCCTCTGTGCCTCAGCTTCCCGATCCTCATGAGGTTGCTGTCGAGATACATGAATCGATACTTGTAGAGTGCTTAGAACAGGGCTTGATCCATGTGTTACTTAGAAGTGCATTTAAACACTTTAGCATGTGGGGATGGGGATCTTTTTGTTCCATGTTCTAATTCCAGCATAGTTAACACGCAGTGCTATATTAGTTCCAAGTGTGCAAAATATTGATCCAATGATTCTGCACATTACTCAGTGCTCTTCAGGACAAGTGCCCTCCTGCATCCCCATCACCTGTTTCCCCCACCCCTCGCCCACCTCCCCTCTGGTAACTGTCAGGGTTTTCTCTAAGGTTAAGAGCCTGTTTCTTGGTTTGCCTCTCTTTTCCCCCCTATGATGGTTTGTTTTGTTTCTTAAATTCCACATTATGAGAGAAATCATATGGTATCTGTCTTTCTCTGACTTATTTTGTTCACCGTAATACTCTCTAGCTCCATCCACGTCATTGCAAAGGGCAACATTTCGTTCTTTTTGATGCTGAGTAAAATTCCTTTGTGTATGTGGACCATACCTTCCTCACCGTTCATCTATCAGTGGACAATGGGACCGTTTCCATAATTTGGCTACTGTCAATGATGCTGTTATAAATGTAGGGGTGCATGTATCCATTTGCATTAGTGTTTTTGTACTTTTGGGGTGAATATCCAGTGGTGCGATTACTGGATCATAGGCTAGTTCTATTTGTAACTTCTTGAGGACCCTCCACACTGTTTCCCAGAGTGGCAGCACCAGCTTGTGTTCCCATCAGCAGTGCAAGAGGGTTCCTTTTGATCCACATCCTCGCCAACATCTGTTGTTTTTTTGTGTGTGTGTGTTGTTGATTTTAGCCATTCTGACAGGTGTGAGGTGGTATCCCATTATAGTTTTGATTTGTATTTTCCTGATGATCAGTGATGCTGAGCATCTTTTCATGTGTCTGTTGGATACATGGGGATCTTCTAATGATCTTTTTTGCTACTGAATTCTGGCTTACTTGCACTATGTCAAAGAACCTTCTCTATACTTTCAGTCCTTTGGAATTTGTTGACACTTGCTCATGGCCCAGCATATTGTCATTTTTTTTTGGTAGAAGTTTTATGTGCACTAGAAAACTATGTCCTCTTATTGTTGGATGCAGTGTTCTATGTATGTCCTTTAGGTTGATGTTAATTGTGTTGTTCAAATCATCTCTATCTTCATTAATTATTTTGCCTGCTTATTCATAGAGTTGGTAAGAAAGGTGTGTTAACACTTCCCTTGTTTCCTCGTAAGCTACACTATAAGCACTATTTTTAACATCCACACTACTAAATGACTCTTGTCAAAGTCACCAGTCACCTCCATGTTGCAAGATCTGATGGCAGTTACTCAGTCTTCATCTTATTGGGCCCCCTCAGTTCATCCCTCCTGCTTCCTTCCTATACTTTCTTCAGTTTGCCTATTGGTTTCCTTCTTATGTAACTCTTGGCGCTTTTTTAGACTTTTTTTTAACTGATTTTTCATTACTTTTCTTTATGTATACTTATTCATTTCCTAGATGGCCTCATCCAGACTCAAGGCTTTAAATAGTATTTATGTGATAAGGACTCCCAAATTAGTATTGCTAGCTACAGACATTAATCTTGGACTTCAGAATTGTGTATCCAGGTGTCTATTCAGTGGTTTCATTTGAATTATGTAATAGGGTTCTACATCTCAGGATGTCTGAAGTTGAGCTTCTGATACCCCACCCCAAACTTGTTGGTTTTACTTTCAAAATATATTTAAACATTGCGCATTTCTATCTCCAGTGCTACTACCGTACTCCAAGTTAGCATCATCTCTTGGCTTCTTCCCTTGCCCTCTGCAGTCCCTTCTTAACATAACAGAGGGATCCGATAAAAATATGAGTCAGATAGATCGTGTCTCTCCTCTGTTCCAATCCCCCCAATGGCTTCCCCATCTTAGAGAAGTTGGCCTAAGATGGGGGGCCTCAGGGTAAAATGCAAAGTCCTTACAATTCTTTACAAGACCCTCAATTGCCTTTCTTTGATTATTCTGACTCCAGACACATTGGCCTCCTTACTAGTCTTCAAATATATTCCTTCCCGAGGGCCTTTGCTCATGTTTCTTCTGCTGGGTCCACATGGTTCACTTTCATATACTTTAGGCCTTTATTTAAAAGTCCTCTTCTCAGTGAGCCTGTCCTATCTAAAATGTACATACCCCCCCACCAACATACCATACCTCTTTCTCTGATATTTTTCCCTCAGCCCTTATCATAATCTAACATCTGTCTCCAATGGAATGTAAACTACATGAAGGCAGGTATTTTTATCTTTTTTTCCTTCACTGACGTATCTTTAGCACCTAGTATGGTGTCTAACAAGTGCTCAATTAAAATGTATTTAATGGATAATTTTGCATGACTTTATTAATACCCATGAACCTAAGAACTTGATGTGCTGTTAGTTTGTAATGGGAGGTACATATATATCATTACGGTAGTGATATAAATTTGGTTTAGTTTTTCATCTAATCCATCTTTTATTTTCAGATTATTTTCCCTATACGATATATTATAACCAATGTTACCTTCACAAGCCTACAAACCTACTGGAGCCAGAAAGCAACATGAAAAAACCGTGGCAAACAATCTGGACAGATCACTTATTAGCCTTATAGAAGGTAAGCATCTATTTCTATTTTTATTTATTTATTTATTTTAAATATTTTATTTATTTATTCATGAGAGACATAGAGGCAGAGACACAGGCAGAGGAAGAAGCAGGCTCCCTTCGGGGAGCCCGGTGTGGGACTGGATCCCAGGACCCTGGGGTCATGCCCTGAGCCCAAGGCAGACGCTCAACCACTGAGCCACCAGGCATCCCAAGCATCTATTTTTATATTAATATTTTATACAAGTATGTGTGTGTGTGTGTGTATATATATATATTTAAAAGCATTTTAGAAAAAGTATACAAAAATAATGTAAAATTCGTTTGTTTTATGAAACAGATTTTAACCATGGAGAACCCTCAGTCAAAAAGTAAGTTTTTATAATTTAAAAAGGACAGCCAGTAATGCATACATATTAGAGGTAGAGGCTCACGAGAATAACAAATAGAAAATAATCATTTTAAAATTCATTATAGGAATCATTTGTTAACAAAACTATAATATGTGAATTTTTTCCTTCAGTAATTGAAGTAGAGTATTTCCTTGTTGTATACTATCCCAGTTTTTGTAGGTGAAATTCTTGGTTAAAGTATAAGGTATTATGTATGTATTGCATGGTTCTCCTACCCCTCTGACAATCCCTTCATGATTCATCTGAAGGATCTTCTTTTTCTAAGCATGTCTTAAATATTGGCATTTCTCATAGTGTTTGTACTTTTGGTTCTTTCCTTATTTATTATATAGACTTTGTTTAACGAATAATACTCATTTTTGTATTATTAAACAAAGACAATAAAGCCACCAGTTGGAGCTCCTCAGCATCTTAAGGTAATCAATGTTACTTCACTGTGTGAATCCCTACATTTTCTGCCAAAAAAAAACCTTCCAAAAAGCAGGCAAATGGAAACCAAAGGAAGGAAGAAGTGATAATATTAACAACAAACAGTGTGGAATGTAAGTTTAAAATCACTAAACAGAATAAGGAAGGCTATCATACAATGATAAAGGACACTATTTATGAAGGCACTATTTTGTGTATACACAAAGTTAAATACATAAGATAAAAATTATTAGAAATACATGGAGAACTGGAGAAAAATACAATTATAATGGGTGATTTCAAACCACTTGTTTCATTATTGGACAGATGTAGTAAGGAAAACATAATAAGGATATAGAGGAGTTTGAATAATTCATAATAAATAATAAACTGGAGTGTTTATTTTTTTCAGGGCAATCACAAAGAAAAACTTGACAAAAACTAAAGCATTTTACAGGCTACCTAATGAAATTAGGACTTGTCAATAAAAAGTTGGCCATGAAAATCAACTGTTTATAAGTTTAAAAATATAATTGTTTAGTCAAAGAGAAAATCCAAAGGAATGTTATCAAACCATCAGAAACTAACTCAGAGGAAAATTTCATCAGAGAAATCAATGAAGAATTAATAAGAATTTAGTTTTTATCTTAATGTATATAAAATAAGAAAAAATATATTGGACAAAACGTATAAAGACAAAAGCTAAAATTTCAAACAAAAACAAATGCTATGCTAAACTTCTTTGTAAAGTCCAATAAAAGAAGGGCCTCTGACTAAACAGAAAAGAGAGTGTAGAAGTAAAACAAAATGAAGATTAAGAGGGCTCACGAAACCACAGATGTAGGTGAGACTAAGATAATTCAAAGCAAATAGTTTGGCAACAACATATTTGAAAATCGGGAATAAACTGATGATTTCCAAGAAAAATAGAAACAACAAAATTCATCCAAGAAACATGTATGGGCCAAATACCACGTAGGTTTTTAAAAAGGAATCATAGATCTGCTGAGTTATCATGGGTTCCTGGTTGAGCTCACAAATACAATGCAGGAATATATTTCGAAATTGCAGTAGCTGTACAGGCTGCTGCGTTTTTGTGTTGGAGTGTGCCGAATGAAACACCTCGTCTGAGATGGTAGTAGGGGAGGTGGTATCATGACAAGCAGATACGTCTGAGACGTGGTTTGAAGGTAGAGTTGATAGCACTTGCTATTAGAGGTGAGGGAAGAAGAGTTAGGGATGGTGCTTGAGTTTTTGGTTTGAGCTACTACATTGATGGTAGTGTTACATTTCGTGATGGGAAAGATTGAAGGAGACATAGTTTGACTAGGTAAGTTGAGTCAAACGTTCTCTTTTGACAGACAAGTTAGTTTCGGATGTGTATGAGACATCTAAGAGGTAGGTAGATATTGGGGTCTAGATTTTAGAGCTGGTGCTAAAAAGCGTGGGAGTTAAAGCCATCCAAGCTTGATAACTTGATCTTGGTAGAGACTAAAGAGGATAATGGTAGGTCCAGAATTGAACTTCGAAACATCCTAATATTGTAGGGATTGAACAGAAAAGGTTAAAGGGTCAAGAACCGAGGAAAACGAAACACCAACAATGGATCCGGAATAAGTGTCACTTTGGACCTTTAAATAATAACCCCTATTAAAAATTCTTAGGGAAATTTATTTCCAGTCTAGAATTTTGTACTCAGACAAGCTCTCAACCAAATGCAAGACTTAAATAGACCAGTTTCAAAATTCAAAAAAATCCAAAAAAAAAAAAAAAAAAGATCACCTACCGTGCAGCTTTGCTCAGGAGGCTCCTCTAGGGTGTGCTCTAAGAAAAAGGGAAGCGAACTAAGAGAGGCAAGCATATGCGATTCAAGGAAAAAGAGAACCCAGTGGAAGTGAGAGGAGGAGGGAGTTCCCAACATAGCAACAGTGGAAATCCCAGGGGGACATTTGTACAACCAGCTTGGAGAGCACCAAGTTGGATTGGAATAGAAGGATATACCGCTCCAGTCAAAAACCCTTTCCACTTGAGATAATTATTATTTCCAGTATATCATAAGCTCCACGAAGGCAGGTATTTTCATCTGTTTTACATATTTCAAGGACCAAGAATAATGCCTGGCACCCTAGTAGATATTTAATGGATATTTGTTGAATGAATGCAATGAATACACACTTCATATGTGAAGCATATGGTGTGAGTGATAAATCTTCTAAAGGAGATCAGTAATGTCTAAAACTTATAGATTAAGATACAATAGTATAGGCATCTTTTTTTTAAAGAATGATGGAATAAAAATTATGGAATCATAGAATTTTAGAATCATGGTATTCCACAAAGAAATAACTTTCTTAGGGAATACCGTAAAGAAAGAGTGGCTACCTTTGGGAAGGGGAAGTGGCAACTAATGTTTTTGGTTTTGGATCTTTAAGCATTTTTTGACTTCTTAAACTCTGTACCACATAGGTAAAACATAAATTTATATAAGTCAAATGACAGCTACGGAATTAATAGGAGCTTTTAGAGACAAGAACCATCAGAGTCTGTTTCCTTTTTTCTATTTATTTTCATATTTATATGAAACATTTTCTATGTAGTGCTATTCTCCTAATAACTTTAATTCTGTAAAGCAGATAGGTAAAGCATTGTTTATCCTTTTACAAATAAGGAAAGAAGTTACTTAGTGAAGATTACACGGCTAGTGAACAGCCTCGTGGAGCTCAGAACGTAGAGCCCCTTTGACGTGCCACCCTGGGGGTATACTAGTTTTTTCTCCAGATACACTATTAAGATAGTTTAGGGGATCCCTGGGTGGCGCAGCGGTTTAGCGCCTGCCTTTGGCCCGGGGCGTGATCCTGGAGACCCGGGATCGAATCCCACGTCGGGCTCCCGGTGCATGGAGCCTGCTTCTCCATCTGCCTGTGTCTCTGCCTCTCTCTCTGTCTCTCTGTGACTATCGTAAATTAAAAAAAAAAAAGATAGTTTAGGATAAAATGTTTTCACTCAGGTCACTTTATTTATGGGAAACTACTACTATTGAATTCTTTCTATGAATTCTCAGACTTTGTTAGTGAGGAATTTATTATTTATTTATTTATTTATTTATTTTTTATTCATTCATTCATTTAAGATTTTATTTATTCATGAGAGACAGAGAGACAGAGTGAGAGAGAGGCAGAGACACAGGCAGAGGGAGAAGCAGGTTCCCTGCAGGGAGCCCGATGTGGGACTCGAACCCAGGACCCTGGGGTCATGTCCTGAGCAGATGCTCAACCACTGGGCCACCCAGGTGCCCCTGACTTCATGTTTAAGTGGTAGATTTGTCATCTTCCAAAATGGACTAATTTATAAATCCCATCTTAGATCTGACATGAAGTGGCGTTGGCCTTCAGAGGTGGAAATTGCTGGAGGAATCAAGTGGCAGTTGAATACCTACACCAGCACGTCAACCATCTGGAAATATATTTCTCTTCCTTCTGTTTCTTCCATGGTAACATTTATTGTGTATTATTACCTAGAATCGTGGCAGTAGGTCAAAAGAAAGATCTGAGAAAGAGAACTGACAGGACTTGCTAATAGATTGAAAATTGAAATATGGGTCCCCAATAGATTCTCTGCGATTCTAAAATTCAAAAAGCTCCAGAAAACAAGTTTTTTTTGTTGTTGTTAAGCTTGCAACAAACTCTTTTGGCTGCAGGACTTTATCTGAACTCTAATGAAGCTGTCGTCATAATTTATCTAAGTGTAAATAATTGTATGTGAACTTTGCATTTGTGTTTTGCTGCAGAGATATTAATGTGCTTGATTAACAGGGTGCTGTTCCAACCCCCCGGGTCTTACTAAAATGTTCTTTGTGTTATTTTTAAATTATTTTTCCAAAATACAAAACATTTTGAATCCCGAAACACATTTGGCTCCAAGGGCTTAAGGATGTGGACCTGTGCTATGTTTATATTTTTTTTTGCTTTAAAACTTTGTCGGTCCAATGATATAACAAACTGCATATTAACTGTTGAGTACACAGTGACTTTATTTTCCTGATATGCAGCTGAGGTACATTCTAGGAATGAGAATTTTGAGAGGATTTGGGACAGAGGAACAGGTAATCTCAAAACGTATTGAGGAAAGATGTGGCTGTGCTGCTTCAGACAGGACACAGATGAGTAAGAACCTAGGAAGAGCATAGCAAGGAAGTGTTGGGTTTGGAATTACTAGGAAGACATGCAGAAACAACCTGACAGTTTGGATTAAATATACATTCTAAGACCTATTAATAGTCTTCCCTTATTTTCCTTTCAGCGGCTACAAAGTCTGGTCATTTCCATTCTTTCATTCTTGATATTGGTGATTTGTGTCTTCTGTTTTTGCTGATCTTGCTATGGAGTCATCGATTGATCATATCAAAGAACCAACTTTTACTTTTATTGAATTTTCTATATTGGTTTTATGTTTTTAAGTATATCGATTTCTTTTTTTCCCCCCAAAGATTTTTTATTTATTTATTTTTTAAAGATTTTATTTATTTATTCATGAGATATACAGAGAGAGGGAGAGGCACAGGCAGAGGGAGAAGCAGGATCCATGCAGGGAGCCCGACGTGGGACTCGATCCCGGAGCTCCAGGATCAGGCCCTGGGCTGAAGACGGCGCTAAACTGCTGAGCCACCCGGGCTGCCCCCAAAGGTTTTATTTATTCATTTGAGACAGAGAGATAGAGAGAGAGAGAGAGAGAGAGAGAGAGAGAGAGAGCACATAGGCAGGGGCAGGGGCAGAGGGAGAAGCAGCAGACTCCTTGCTGAGCAGAGACACCACCCCCACCCCCACCCCCGACATGGGGCTTGATCCCAGGATCCTGGGATCATGAGTTGAGCCAAAGATAGATGCTTAACCACTGAACCACCCAGGCGCCTCTGACTTGATCCTTCTCTAATATATTGTTCAATGGTATAAAACTCCCTCTGGGCCCCTGCTTTAGATGTCTTATTTTCATTTTTGTCCAGTTCAATGTGTTTTTAGTTTCTCTTTGACTCAAAGATTATTTAGAGGTATGTTGTTTGATTTCTAAGTGTTGGAAGATTTTACTGTTATGATTTTATTATTGATTTCTGATTTAACTCCTTTATGGTCGGAGAAAGTATTTTGTATGTTTTAAATTCTTTTAAATTCGTTAAGTCTTGATTTATGATCCAGGGTATGGTCTATCTTGGTGAATATTCCAAGAACACCTGAAAACACATGTATGCTGCTGTTGTTGGGTGGAATGTTCCATCGATGTCAGTTAGGTACTCCTATGTTTATGTTTAGGTCTACCATCTTATTATTTTCTGTTTCTTCCCTCTATTCGTTGTCATTGTTGTTCCTCTGTTTCTCCTGTCTTGCCTTCTTTTGGTTTCTTTGAATATATTTTAGAATAGCATTTAATTTTAATTTATATGTTGTGATTTGGATAATATCTCCCTGTACGGTTTGCTCTAGCAAGTACGAAATACATACTTTTCACAGTCCATTTAGAATAAAAATTTTACCATTTCAACTGGAGTGTAAAAGCGTTAGTACCATATAGATTCGCTTGCCTTCCTCCTTTTGCGTGATAACTGTCTATACGTATGTTACGTTGAAAAGACCGATCAGACAATCTTACACTTTTTCTTGCAGGATTCAAGGTGTCATTTCCAGTGTCATTTCCCTTCTACCCATTAGCAATTCTGGCTATGAATTGTCTTATTTTTTCCTTCATTTGAGAATGATTTTTTCCTTATTATTATTATTTTTTTTTATGCTAGTCACACACACAGAGAGAGAGAGAGAGGCAGAGACACAGGCAGAGGGAGAAGCAGGCTCCATGCACCGGGAGCCCGACGTGGGATTCGATCCCGGGTCTCCAGGATCGCGCCCCGGGCCAGAGGCAGGCGCCAAACCACTGCGCCACCCAGGGATCCCCTGAGAATGATTTCAATTCACCATTAGTCCTAAAGCAATTTTTACTGGATACAGAATTCTGGAGGGACAGTTCTTTTCCTTCAGCCTTTGAAAGATGGGCCACTTCATTCTGGCCTCATGGTTTCTGAATCATCTGTTCCCCTATAGGTATTGCATGATTTTTCTGTGTCAGCTTTTAAGATATTTTTCTTTGTCTTTCATTTGCAGAGGTTTGAATATGAGGCATGGATTGCAGGGGGGAGTTACTCCGTTCAGGTTTGTATAGCTTAAGTTTGCATTTTTCTATGTTTTGCCAAACTTGCAAAGTTTTCTGCCATTATTGCTTCAAATACTTTTTTCAACCCTATAGATTGTTGTGTCACTGCTCCCTGAGGCTCTTTTTACTTCCTTTGAATCTTTTTTTTTTTTTATCTGTTTTCCAGAATAAATGGTTCTATTCGTCTGTCTGCTCCTGAGTCCTTCGATTGGGTATTTTTATTTCAGTTACTGCATTTTTCAGTTCTGAAGTTTCCATTTGTCTTTTCCTGTATCTTCTGTTTCTTTGCTGATGCGTTCTATTTTAACTTGTATTTCGGGAGTGTTCATGATTACTCATTCAAGCATTTTATAATAGCCACTTGAAAGTCTTTGTCAGATAATTTCACCATCTGTGCAATCTCATCATTGGTGTCCATTGATTGTATTTAGTCATGTAAGTTGAGGTTTTCACGGTTTTCTTCGTGTGCCAAGTAGTTTTGGATTATGTCCTGGACACTCTGCCTCTGACTTTGACTCTGGGCCTTATGACACTTTATGGAGAGTGTTGGTGTTTGTGTTTTCGTAGGCGCTTGACCTGCTTAGGTTCCAGCTGCACATTCTGTCCTTCCCTGACCTGCGGTTCCAGCCAGTGTCAGCTCGGTTTCTGTGGCCTCTGTGCTGCTACGCCGGCCTGTCTGGCATCTGTGCCCCCCGATGCTCAGCCTGGTCCCTCCCCTGTGATCATTCTTCCGTATGTTCCTCAAGATCAGATATACAGGGACGCCCGGGTGGCTCAGTGGTTGAGCATATGCCTTCGGCTCAGGGCGTGATCCCGAGGTCTTGGGATCGAGTCCCGCATCAGGCTTCCTGCAGGGAGCCTGCTTCTCCCTCTGCCTGTGTCTCTGCCTCTCTCTCTGTGTCTCTCGTGAATAGATACATAAAATCTTTTTTTTAAAGGATCATATCTACAGTTGTGTTTTCATTTTCATTTGTTTCCTTTTTTTTTTTTTGACTTCTCCTTTGACCCATTCATTGTTTACTAGCATGTTATTTAACCTCCATGTATTTGTGGACTTTCCAGATGTTTTCCTGTAGTTGCTTTCTAGTTTCATAGCAGAGTGGTGAGAAAAGACGCATGGTATGACTTTGATCTTTTTGAATTTGTTGAGACCTGTTTTGTGGCCTAATATGTCATCTATTCTGGAGAACATTCCATGCACACTTGGAAAGAATGTGTATCCATTTTAGGATAGGATGTTCTGAATATACCTGTAAATCCATCTGGTCCAGGGAGTCATTCAAAGCCACTGTTTGTTTCCTTGTTGATTTTTTGTTTGGGTTATTTGTCCATTGATGTAAGTGGGGTGTTAAGGTTCCCTACTATTATGTGTATTACTATCTATTATTTTTTCTATGTTTGTTATTAACTGTTTTATGTATTGGGGTGCTCCTATGGTGAATGCATAAAGGTGTATGATTGGAAAAAAAAGTGTATGATTTTACAGCTTCTTGTTGGATCATCCACTTTATGATTGTATAGTGTCCTTCTTTGTCTCTTGTTATAGTCTTTGTTTCATTTTTTTATTTTTTTAAACTGTATTAATTTGTTTGAGAGAGAGAGAGAAGCACGGGGTAGGGGCAAAGGGATAGGGAGAAGCAGACACCCCGCTGAGCAGGAAGCCTGATGTGGGACTTGATCCCAGGACCCTGAGATCATGACCTGAGCCAAAGGCGGCAGCTTAACTGACTAAGCCCCCCAGGTGCCCCTACAGTTTTTGTTTTAAAGCGTATTTTGTATGATAGAAGTGTTACTACCCTTGCTTTCTTTTGACATTCATCTCCTGAGGCAAGGGAAATAAAAGCAAAAGTAAATTATTGGAGCTACATTAAAATAAAAAGCTGCTTCTCAGCAAAGGAAACAATCAACAAAGCAAAAAGCAACCATCCGAATGGGAGAAAATATTTGCAAATGACATATCCAGTAAAGGGTTAGTATCCAAAAATCTATTGAGAATGTATCAAACTGAGCACCCAAAAGGCGAATTATCCAATTAAAAAATAGGCAGAAGACACCGATAGACATTTTCCCAAGAAGACATCTAGATGGCCAACAGACACCTGAAAGGATGCTCATCATCAGGTATCACCAGGGAGATGCAAATCAAAACCACAATGAGCTATCCCCTCACACCTGTCAGAATGGCAAAAATCCACAACACAGGAAATAGATGTTGGTGAGGATGTGGAGAAAGGGGAACCCTATCGCAGTGTTGGTGGGAACACAAGCTGGTGCAGCCACTCTGGAGAACAGTGTGGAGGGTCCTCAAGAAGTTAAAAGTGGAGCTCCCCTATGACCCAGCAATTACACTACTGGGTATTTGCCCAAAGAATATGAAAACACTAATGCAAAGGACACATGCACCTCTGTGTTTACTGCAGCATCATTCGCAGTAGCCAAATTATGGAAACAGCCCAAGTATCCATTGATAGATGATTGGGTGAAGATGTGGTGTATATTTACAGTGGAATATTATTCAGCCATAGAAAGAATGAAGTCTTCTCATCCACAATGAGCTAGATAGTATTCTTTAAAAAAAAAAAAAAGATTTTATTTGCTCATGAGAGACACACAGAGAGAAGCAGAGATGCAGGCAGAGGGAGAAGCAGGCTCCATGCAGGGAGCCCGACGTGGGACTCGATCCCGGGACCCCCAGGATCACGCCCTGAGCCGAAGGCAGACATTCAACATCTGAGCCACTCAGGTGCCCTGCTAGAGAGTATTCTAATTAAAAACCTAACCATAAGCCAAACCCTAACTCTAACCCCTGTGAATCACTAATCCGTAACCCTAAGCCCTTACCCTCACCGTAACCCTCTACGTAAACTCATCTCTCTGTAGGGGTCTCTGAGGTGCCCGACATAGGCCCATACCCTCATCCCCACCGTAGCCCTAACAGTTACGCTTACGCCAGCCCTACACCAAACCCTACTCCAAGATCTGAGGAAAGAAAATACCCGGCATATATACCGTGGCATATTACTCAGCCACAAAGAACAAGAAAATGTTGCCGTGTGTAATGACACAGATAGAGGCAGAGAGTATTCTAATTGAAAACGTTATCCTAAAGCAAACCCTAACCCTAACCCTAACCCCTAACTGCTAACTACTAACCACTAACCCATCAATCTGAGCATTGCACTTGTTGTAAACTTAGCCCTCCGGAGGGGCCTCTGAACTGCAGGACAATATGCCCATACCCTCACCACAGCCTTAACCCCAACCCTACCCTTATTCCAGCCCTACACTGAGCACTACTCCAAGATCTGAGGAAAGAAAGGATGTGGTGTGTACATGGACATACATACACAACACGCACACACACACACTGAAGTAGGACTGACTCAGCCATCAAAAAGAATGAACCCTTGCCATTTGCAATGACATGGATGGACCTAGGGGGTATCATGCTAAGTGAAGTAAGTCCTTCAGAGAAAGCCAAGTACCATATGATCTCACTCATATGTGGAATTTAAGAAACAAAACAAACGGACAAAAGGGAGAAAAGAGCGAGAGACGCAGACCAAGAAACAGACTCAACTCTAGAGAACAAGCTGGTGGTTGCTAGGGGGAGGGGGTGGAGGGGGGGGAAGAGGCAATGGGGATGAAGGAGGGCATATACCCTGATGAGCACCGGGCACTGTGTGCAGTCGTTGAATCCAGTCTACCCCTGCACGGGTGGAGGGGGGACCATTTTTCCCTGTGCTTTTCTATCTCTGCTCTCTCTCCAGTGTTTTCCTGTGGCCCCAAACCCCACTCCCTTCTGTGATGGAGACAAGGCAGGGTTCCACGTGATGGCACGGCAGAGGATTTAAAGATAAAGAAAGAAGTAAATTGTTTCTCCCCTCACGGAGCCACAGCTCCCCCTAATGGAGAGGACAGTTTGTCTCCCTGGGGTATTTGGCTCTTGGGCTGCAGGCCCTGCTTGGGGATTGCCTGGGAGCTGGGGTGTGAGAGGAGAGAGCAGAGGGAGAAACGTTAGGGAACCTTCCGACTTTCTCTGAGCTTTCGAAGTTCCCCTCTCACTTTTGGCCTTCTTCTGCAGTGGTGACATTCTTTTTTTTTTCCCCTTTCTTTCTTTCCCCTGTTGGCTTTTGAAGCTATATGCTCTTTTGCTATTATTTTGCTATTATGCCAGACACTAGAGCGTGCAGAGTGAAACTGTGAAAAGTTGAAAGCTAATGAGTAATTTCTTCTGAAACGACATAAGAACTTGAGAAAAGGGCAGCCCCGGTGGCGCAGCGGTTTAGCGCCGTCTGCAGCCCAGGGTGTGATCCTGGACCCGGGATCGAGTCCCACATCGGGCTCCCTGCGTGGAGCCTGCTTCTCCCTCTGCCTGTGTCTCTGCCTCTCTGTGTGTGTGTGTGTTTCTCATGAATGAATAAATAAATAATTCTTTAAAAAACATTTAAAAAAAGAACTTCAGAAAACTTTAATTTGGATCATACTCCCTGCTGACTTAACATGCTATTTTGCATGGCATTTTGACATGATTTTAAGAGATTTTTGGTTGTAGTAAGATGCATATTAAATGTGCCAACCTAACCATTTTAAGTGTACAATTCAGTGACATTAAATACATTCAAAATATTGCGTCACCATCACCACTATGTAGCTCCAGAATGTTTTTTATCATGTCCAACAGAACCTATATCCATTAAAAAAAATCACTCTAGTAACCACTTTTCTATTTTCCAGCTCTATCGATAGGACTATTCTAGGTACCTCGTTTCAAGGGCACTCACACACCCTTTATCCTGTTGTGTCTGGCTTATTTCACTTGGCGTAATGTCCTCAAAAGTCATCCATGTCATAGCGTGTCTCACAATGTCATTCTTTCTTAAGGCTAAATAATTTTCCATTGTATGTATTCGCCGCATTTTGTGGATTCATTCATCCATTGATGGACATTTGGGCTGTGTCCATCTTTCCTGCTATGAACGTTGCCGTACAAATGCCT